CAGCGCGATATCATTGCATTGAATGCCTGAGCACCGATGCGACATGTCTCACGCATCAGTGTTTGCTCGGCTGGCGATTTTATCCATCGCAACGAGTCGATATGCTCGCGAAGTGGCACCACCTCAGCACATCCTGATAACACCTTCAATTCTGTTATTCACAGATACCCATCAAGTATTCTTCTAAACTTCACACAGGCATTGTACTTACAAATCCTTACAAATCCTAGAGTTCTACAAAAAACTGAAGTCACATAATATTTACATCCCCTCTACAATTCGTTCCAGGAGCTCACGTACCCCGATGAGTCAAAACCACCATCAGCTTACTCCTAAACAATCTTCGTAAATGAGACCATCAACCGACCTGCCAATGGGTTATTGCTGTTGTTAGCCACTACCGATCAAATTACTTTCAAGTGCCTCCGCCTCTCATAGAAAATGAATAAAAAATGAGTTCTGATTTCACCAAGACCAATCAATTATTGAAAAGCTTTCAATGGCTACCTCCGGAAGACCATCCCTTACGGCGTTCAGGGTTGTGTCGTCGTATGATACAATGACAGCACCGCAAATCAGCATTTGCAGATCGAGCATCAGCTGATTCCGTCCCTTGATTTCTTCCACCGCACAGATATCCGCAATTTCACTGGCACTTAGCGCCGGTCCCTCCCACAGTTCCTGCTTTTCCGTACGCTCTGAAAAGCTTGTTAATTATCTAACGTACATTTTCAGGATGAAAGAAATCAGTGAAAGAAAAAACCAATCAATTAACAGAAAAAAATAAGCGAACGCATATATTAGCAGGTCGTTGTGTGTCCTACTTTTTTGCGCCCAAAATCGAAAAACTTGGCATTGTTGCGTTTGGCGTGTGGGAGCATCCCAGTAACATCAACAAAATTATGTCCCCAAAATAACTGCCCAGGCAGTCTTAGCATTGTAAATAATTCTATGAACCGAAACATTCCCTTTCAAATAATTATTTTAATTTTATCACAGCTCTCTTTTCATTCTACAACCGCAATTTGCTTTAAATAATTTCAAGCTGCACAACAAGCATAAAAATTATTATTAACATGACTAATATTATTATTATTGTTGTTATCAAGCCAAAATTTGTTTTGAACAATTCAGAATTGCATAATAAAATTCGGCTTTCACAATAACCATAAATACCATTATTAATATGATTATTATTAGTATTGTTACTATTGTTATCATTGTCATCATTACAATAATTTTGATTACTATTACTATCATCACCATTACTTCCGGTGCTATTAATACTGCTCCACGTGTATTTTTCCGTTCTAGCCTCGTCGATACAGAAAAATTTTTGGAAATAATCCTCTCAAGACGCATTCAAATCGGCTTAATAGTTGCAAATAAGTCTGGACGGATAATATCAGCTCATAATTTTAAGGAAAAACCCTAGGAACAGATGAATTATACATCCGGACAAGTGTAGTGAAATTCGGGAAAAAACCCCAGCAAATAAAAGAAATTACAAATTATGCGAAAACACAGCATTGTAGAAATGTACAGGAACTCATTACCTTCGATGTAGAGCACTGAGATTGGCTTGGATCTGCGTTCTGCAACGATCAGGAGTACAGCATCGGGCTGAGTGAGACCCGTGAAATATCTGAAGTAGGAACATTGACGAAACGGATAGGGCACATCCGGAGCCGAGAATTGCCGCGTCGCTGACCTCATCACCACGGCAAGCGGTTTCGCGCGACTTCCCGGAGTAGCACGTCGTAATTTTGTGACCAAATTCGCACGGCGTTGCGCAAACTCCGTCGCATCGATAGCTTGTTTCACCGTTGTTGTGGCAGTCGTCGACATATGTGAACGTAGCTGGCGAACCTGTCGGCTCAGTGACCTCATCATTTCACACAGCCTTCCGATGACGGATTCCCGTCCAGCGTCTAAGCGACGCCTCGGATTATTGTTCAGCACAAAAAAAATGCGCAGTTATATGGTCCAATTCAGTTTTAGTAAATATCTGGAAAAGTGCTGCAGTGCAAAAAGCATAAAATTGAATTGTTAGCATATTAGCGACGTGTTTTGGAAATTTTTGAAAAATGTAAGCTATGAAAGTTTGTTTGGCACTGTAGGCCAGCCGATTAAAGGGGCACAGTCGAATATTGTCAGTTGTGGGAAAGCAGTGAGTGCTAATTCAGATATCCAGATAAGCGAGCCTGTATGTGCATTAGTTGTTGCTATATTGGTCACTACAGTCCACATGTGTCCACTTACCCCCTTGACTTTTCACTGATTTCCACTTTGTCGGACATAATAGAGAAATCCAAAGCTGCATATTACTCTTAGCATTTATACTTATCGAGAAACACCTCACTTTTGATCTCAGTGCTACATATTTATATTTGAAATAGTAGAATAGAAGGACTGGTCTTAAATGTCATGTGTCGGTGGACATTTTAAGACGTAGCCTCTGTTTCATCCCTTAGCTGTAAACACAGACCGAACAAGGAATGCGGATAGCAGCGGGAATCATCAGTACAGCCTCCTATCCTCCATGTTCTAAACAAACATGTGGCTATTTTGCAAAACAAACATGTGAAGAAACAAGAAATCAGAAACAGCTGCACTAAATACTTGAGCAGCTGTATGTCATCGACGTTCGTTGTCGCGCCATCGCTGCAGCTGGCAACTTCTCTACTCACCTCGTTGTTGCGCTCACCGAGATCATGTAACACTTTTACTATTCGGCTTCTCCACCTCGCTGGTGGCCTCCCCAGTGTTCGTTTAACGCTGCGTGGGTACCATTCCATTATCCTTTTCGTCCATCTGTTGTCTGTACAATGCGAATGAATTGGGTTAGCAGTCGGGGAAAACTGAGTGTCACATAAT